TCATAACTTTTAAAACCTTTAAAAAACGAAACGACACGAGGCCACGGGTCAAATAATACATAAAGGGTTCTCTTACATATATATATATATATATATGTGTGTGTGTGTGTCTGTTTGAGGTGGCTTTGTTGGAGCCATTACTTACAGCTTCATGGGACTTATACTAGGGTAACATATAAGGTAAACATATCCCCACAATTAAGGTTACTATGACCCATGATCCTCCAAGTAGGGCCTCAGGCTTCATACGCCCGAAAACATCTAAGCATGCACAGCCCCAAGTGGTCCGGAACCCTAAACCCTAAACCCTAAACCGGTCCGGAAACCCCAAACGGATTTCGGGCCAAGGGTTTGGGCTTTAGGGCTTCGGGTCGAAAGGTTCAGCGTTCTAGGGTGTAGGATTTGGGGGTTTAGGGGTTTAGGATTTCAGGTTCAGGGCTTTGGGATTTTGGGCCGAAGGGTTTAGGGTTCTAGGGTGTAGGATTGGGGGGGTTTAGGACAGGAGCTCATATTGGCTGGCTCAGGCTTTGAGGTACAAGCCGTGCCCGAAACCGTAAACGCTAAACCCTAAACCCTAAACCCTAAACCCCTAAACTCTAAACCCTAAACCCGTAAACCCTAAACCCCTAAACCCCTAAACCCTAAACCCTACAATCAGCCTGAGACTGAGAGCCCCCAAACCGAGCAGCTCAAGAAATCCGACAAGAAGTTCAGCTAACAGGGCCCTGCTGTGCCCGCGCCAGCATTGCAAGACCTCGCATCAGCCCAGAAAGAAAAAACAAAACAGACCGGCAAAGCGACGCATCGGCAAGTCGCACCGACCAAAATCACGAAAGGCACACGAAAAAGAAAAAAGAATCACCTCGCTTTCCCGTGCCTGTTGCACAACCTTTGGTCTTTGCCCCCACAAAACAGTTCACTCCGATGGCAGACGGCACGGGCCTCGAGCACTACCATCAACACAAAAGGGGTAGGACCGGTTCTGCAATAGTGAGGGCTAGGTGTAGGGAGAGAACTCCATGTACGCCCGTTTGTAGCCTACCGGTTCCAGCGAGACTGTTCATGCAGCAAGACCCTCACATGAGCACGAGGCTCTGCACAGACACGGACACCACCAAACATCATGCGAGACATGTCACTCAGATGCAGAACGATACCAGGAATGTCTGTAAGTGAAGACCACCTAAAACCAGGTGAACCGCTCAGCAGAAATCGAGTCAGAGTGTAGCTCCAAGCCTCTCACGCCGAAGCATCTAGATGGCGCCACCCTTAGCCTAGATCAGCAGCCAGCATGTGCCGTCTAAAGCCTGCAACCAAAGCGCCGGCCGAGGTCGTGGAGAAGAGGAAGCGCGTCGCAGAAGCGCCGATTATCCGCAGGAAACGACGGCGACGTCAGCACTCCCACATCCAGCAGCCAAAGACCCGAAGTGGCAGGCGCAACACAACGCTGGTCAAGATCTACCTGGGCCTGAACGGCGACTGCGTGGAGGTTAAGGCTGAGCCCAGGCCGTTCTGCTGTCACCAACGTCGTCGCACATGAGCCAGGCAGACCCCACCGAGACGGTGCACACCTTCGTCGGGGCATATGCCGAAGACCACTGGCGCCCCAAGCCTACACTCGAACAAACCAGCGACAGTAGCGCCCCCCACCACCCCTTTGAACTCAGGACGGCTCCGTGAGGACCTCGAGCTAGTGGTCACGGACAAAAAGAGCGGCGAGGTGCTAAAACACGAGGAGCCCATCGGGCCATCCTGCCGCGCTTGCATAGTTGTGGTTCCGACAGCGTCGTAGAAACGCAGACAAAACCCGTCTCTAGATGCCGGACCAGGAAGCACCCGGAAATGCAAGTGATACTCGTCCGCGACAACTCGGGATGTGACCCTGAGCAGCAGCCCCGGGTGCACTACACGAGCCTTGCTGAATGCCGATTTGCAGTCTCCACGCTCAGGTGGTATTCTCCGGAAGAATCCAGCGAGGAATCAGAGTCGCGCCCTCAGCGAGAGACCTAGCTTGTGGACCGAACGGCGGAAGCAGACATGGTCCGGATAAGGTTGGAAGCACCCGTCTGTCCCTCAGATTGTACACGGCATCCAGCCCGAACAGCCTGATGTAACCCTGACAGGACAGGACGGCGCCAGCCCGCATGTCCCAAGCGGACTGAGCCGGCAAGACACGCGGCAAGCGATGCGCAGACCCCGCGAAAAATGATTCGGACCGAAGTCGAGAGCTTTTGTTTCGCGTCCTAAGGCATAGGAAACGCAGCAACAGAGCAACATCCGAAAGACAACAAAAGCAAAACCAACACTCAAGCAACCAGAGAGCACAAAGCCGAACTAGAAATAATCCAAGCAGGAACTGCAAGACAAAGGCTATCCTACCGCGTCCATCAAAACAAAGTGCCCAGGGTTGCAACCAAGTAGTTTGTTTCGAGAACTTCCACGCTAAGCCGGCAAACTGCTCAGCAACAGCGCCTATAAATTCCNNGCCTTTCCAAGGAAAGGTCGAGTTGTCAGAGCAACTCGCAAGTCTGGAGCCAAGCCCTTTAGGCTCTGAGCGTCAGGGAAGAAAGCAGCAATGAGGAGAACGCCACCCCGTCCGTCAGCCCGATCTAAAGCTGCGAGCAGGGATGAGACAGGCGTCCAGTCACGCACACTGTCCCGTGCACCGACTTGCTGTGTTGCCAGGTCCTCGCGGATCCACAGTGCGGCGGACAACGCGAGAGACGCACCGCGCACACACACACACACACACCGTGGGAGCCTCAGCAACAGCAGCAGGAGCGCCACTCGATGCCGAAAACTGCAAAGGTCGAGACTCACAAGAAACAGAAACTCGGCCGACCGCAGCTCATACCGGCTCCAGAGAGCAAGCCACCTCCGCCGGCAGAGCTCCAGCATGGGCATCGGAACGTCGGCGGAGCAGCGGCCCCAGCGATGTTTGAACGATCTCAACCCGGAAAAGACAGAGGCGGGGACCAGGCTGGAGGGCTTATCCTCAACCAATATGGGGTCCCGGGTGCGTGGTCTCAGCCCGAGGAAGAAAGAGGCGGGGACGCGGCCGGAGGGCTTATCCCCAACCAATATGGGGTCCCAGGTGCGTGGTCTCAACCCGGAGAAGACAGAGGCGGGGACCAGGCTGGAGGGCTTATCCTCAACCAATATGGGGTCGCAGGTGTGGTCTCAGCCTCATCATAAAAGTGGCAGAGGAAGACGTGGGCAAATTCAAGGGAATTTTACAGTAGGCACCAAAGACTGCTCGCTGCCACCACCAAGAATCTCTAAAAATACGCCTTGCTCCCAAGGAAAATTGAGGCTCAGTGTTCCTGCTTGTTTGCGCCTTTCTTCCATGAGCCGCCCACGAGTCAACTTGGACCAATCCTCTCTGGTATACGTTACATGTGCATGCGGAAACGGTTTAGGGTTTAGGTTTTAGGGTTTAGGGTTTAGGGTTGGGACGTTGCCGGGAAGTTGGCCATCCCAGCCTGGGACTGTGGAAGCAAGTGGCTTCGTCGTCGCGGCGCAGTCCAAAAAAAAGTAAATACCCCTTAAAAACCGAAGCGTCCAAGCCCAAAGCTTATCATTAGACCCGAAGCCTTCGCATCAGTTGAAGCATAGTGCTCTAGACCCCAAGCCCTAAACCCTATAGACCCTAAACCCTCAACCCTAAACCCTAAAACCCTAAACCCTAAAGACCCTAAACCCTCAACCGTAAAGTCTTGGGTTTAGGGTTTCCTACTAGAGCCTGCGACTTTGGTAGCTTCGGCCCAGAGCTCAAATTAAAGACCCTGTTACCTTAAGGACGAAAAGAGCCCAAGAAGGGCTTAAGATTCATGTACCATATAGGGGTGCATAGTATAAGGGTATGGGGGCCCTACTTTTAAGGTTCCTAAACCCTAAACCCTAAACCCAACCCAGAGCACGGAAGACTAACAACCCAAAGCCCTTCTGAGATCCGTCCCCATATCCCTGAACTTTGGGGTTTAGGGTTGAGGGGTCTAGACTCTAAATCCTAAGCCCTGAGCCATAAACTCTAAACCCTATCCCATGAGCTCCTTCCCTACGTAAAAGCTCTCAAAGGAGCCCTTCAAGAAAACACCCTAAACCCTAAACCCTAAACTAGACCCAAAACCTCTTGAATGAGGCCCCTTTAATCATAACGACCCAAATCAGTGCTGCTTCAGAGGGCCTTCTGCTTCGCTAGATGGTTCTGCTTCGGCTTGGGGATTGCTTCATCTGCTCGCATCAACACGCACTGTTTTGTCGCATCGCGGCATGAATCAGCCATGCTCCGCACCCATGAACACACGTGCCGCAGCTGCAGAGTTCTGTTGGTGTTATGCCCTTATGTGCTGTTCCTGCTGCGGCACGTGATCCCCTCAAAAAGCTACTCACTCAAGAGACCCTTTGTCGCTTGTTTGATGCAAGAGCCTTGCTTGCATCCAGCCCAGCACCAGCAGATGTAGAAAGCCTGTCCCTGCGACCGAAGTCGCGGAGGCATCTGCGATCCAAGCTTGATCGCCTCAGTAACCCTTAAGGGAACCTTAAACCCTAAACTAGACCCCAAAACCTTTTGAATGAAGCCCCTTTACGGGTTCCCTTCCCTAAACCAAATCCTAAACCCTAAACCCCCTAAACCGCCTAAACCCTAAGCCGAGGAACCCTTAAGGGAACCCTAAACCTGAGCCGCTTTAAGGGTTCCCTTTAACAGTAACCCTTTGAGGGAGCCCCAAACCTGAACCCGAGGAGCTCCTTCCCTACATCCCGACGATCTTCGATGGCATCTCACGTCTCTTCGCGGCGACTCGGTGAGGTTTAGGGCTTATAGGGTTTAGGGTTTATAGAGTTTATAGGGTTTATAGGGTTTAGGGTTTAGGGTTTATAGGGTTTATAGAGTTTATAGGGTTTATAGGGTTTATAGGGTTTATAGGTTTATAGGCTTCATAAGATTTAGGGTTTAATTAGGGATTAGGTTTTAGGGTTTATAGGGTTTATAGGGTTTATAGGGTTTATAGGGTTTGTAGGATTTAGGGTTTAGGGCTTAGGGATTAGGGTTTTGCGTTTATAGGGTTTATAGGATTTAGGGTTTAGGGATTAGGGTTTAGGGGTTAGGGATTAGGGTTTATAGGGTTTATAGGTTTTTTAGGCTTTAGGGTCTCTACGAGGGCGAGCTTGGGGGTTTTTATGGGGTTTCCTTGACCGTTTAGGGGTTTTTTGGTTGATAGGGGGTTTCCTTGAAGTCCTGTCTCACGAGTTCCGTGAAGGTTTCTATAGGAGTTTAGAGATTTAGGGGTTTCGTTAGGGGGGTTTAGGTGTTGAGGGTTTGGGGTTTAAGGCTCAACATGCGTCGAGCCTGGTAGCGTTTCGTAGCTTAGGAGCGTTTGCTAGTTCAGCAAGATATAAACAAACACTAAGCATAGTTCAAGAAGGGGTTCGCATAGGGCCTTGTAGATCACTTGAGGTTTTGATGGGGTGTACTGTGAACCCCAGAAACTTGGAACATGGGTTTAGGAGGATTGGTGCTAGGATCCCCCTATACGCTACCTCAAGGGCATGAGCATATTGATGTTCCAGCTTTCTGGCCTCTACCCTGAACCCCAAACCTTAACCCTAAACCCCAAACCCTAAACCCAGGTGTGGTTTAAAAAGGTTTTAATCAGGTTGCTTATCTGGCCTTATGGTTCAGAGAAGGGTTTCAATAGTGGCCTAATGTAGGGGTGTTCATAACTACCTATACTATTTTTTCGGGGGGNNCTTATTATAATTATAGTTTAATGGGCCCCAAAACCCTATTCTAATTATTCCGGCCGCTCTATTACGGCTCAACCAGGCTTGTCAGAAAGGCCTCACAAAGCATGGGCCCTAGAGCCCAAAACCCAAATCCCTCGACTCCAGAGAGAGCTGGTTCTTTAGGCGGGGTGTTGGGGTCTCGGGGCTCCTAGGTTTCAGGATATAAAGCTTCGGGGATTCAGGTTCACAAGGTTGCGCATGGGAGGTTTCTGGGATTGAGGCTTTGGGGTCTTGGCCCAGATCGGGTTCAGAAATCCAGCTCCCAGAGTCTAGGGGTTGAGGGTTTAGGGTTGAGGACTTCGGGTTTAGGGTTTAGGGTACTTCTGCAGTTTTGCGAAGCCGGATCTCACTGGTTAGAGGCTTGCAGATTTGGGAGTTTTAAACGGTGTTTTCGAATTTCGAGTTAGTGATTCCTCGAAGTCGCACCCTGACCCTTGCCCTAAAACCCTAAACCCTAAACCCCTAAGCCCCTAAAGCCCCAAACCCCAAAACCCTGAAGCAAAACGATATGACGAGTAGAGCTTGTGGGTTCCATGAGGCGGGTTTAGGGGTTTAGGGTTTAGGGTTTAGGTCAGCACTTGCCAAAAAGGTTTGCGAGACCTTTTAAGTTTCTTCGAACCTGTGAAACATTCAAAAACCAAGGATGTGAACACCGAAGTGCGGCACGCTGCTACAGTCTTGGATAAGCTGCTGCGGGACGGTTGGGTCGGGTTACAAGGGAACGCGGCGGAGGGTTTTGCAAGCTTTAGGATTAGCATCTATAGAGTTCCTGCGGTAAAGCACCGATCAAAAAGTAAGGCAACTTCGTCTGTAAACTGCTAACTTTTCAGAAGTGCGCATCAGAATGAATCCTGAATCTGAAATCCGGACAGAAAGCTAGAACCCATTTTGGTTCAACGGGAGCAATACCCTAAACCCTGAACCCTAAACTCTGAACCCTAAACCCTAAACCCTGAACCTTGGACCCAAAACCCAAAACCCTAAACCCTGAACCCTAAACCCTAAGCCCTGAACTACCGCCTTGTTTCACCCCTCTTTTAAACTAAAGCCCTAGACCATCGTAACAGGGCCTCCCATCTTTGTCGACCCCAAACTCTTTAGCCAAAACCTCAAGCCCTAAACCGCTAAACCCTAAATCGCTAAACTCTAAACCTCAAACCCTAACACCCTAAAACCCTAATCCCTGAAGCACTAAAACCCTAAACCCTAAACCCCTAAACCTCAAACCCTAAACCGCTAAACTCTAAACCTCAAACCCTAAAACCCTAAAGCTCTAAAGCCTAAAACCCTAATACCCTAAAGCCCTAAACCCTAAAACCCTAAACCCTAAACCTCAAACCCTAAAGCCCTAAACCCTAAAACCCTCAAACGCTAAACCCTAAACCCTAAAACCCTAAACCTCAAACCCTAAAACCCTAGAACCCTAAAACCCTCAAACGCTAAAACCCTAACACCCTAAAACCCTAAACCCTAATTAAACCCTAAAACCCTAAACCTCAAACCCTAAACCCTAAACCCTAAAACCCTAAAGCCCTAAAGCCCTAAACCCTAAACCCTCAAACCCTGAACCCTAAACCTCAAACCCTAAACCGCTAAGCCCTAAAACCCTAAACCCTAAACCGTAAAACCCTAAAACCCTAAACCTCAAGCTCCAAACCCTAAAACCCTAAACCCTCAACTTCAAACTGCTCAACCCTAAACCCTAGACCCTAAACCTCAAACCCTAAACCGCTAAGGATTAAACCCTAAACCAACCCCAGCCGAGACCTGAGGTTCTTCGGTTCCTTAAGGACCGAAGAACCCTTAAAAGTAGGGGCCATGGGCTCCTTTAAGGGTTCCTGTAAGGGTTTAGG